TTTTCAATGTTTAACATCCTCACAACGCAATTAAAATTAAATACATTTTATTGTGAAAATATTATTAGTCCACTATTCTCCCCAAACTTCAAGTTCAACCGATCGTGCAGTAGTAAAGAACAAAAAGTATCTTACGCATATAAATATTAGCACGATCAAGTGATAGGGGCTAAATTATCATTGCTGTTTTACGATAACAGATTATATATTCTACATTTACATAATAAAAGGTAAATTATGTCAAATGACAACATGTACTTTTATCAGCATCCGGTCGTAGTGTCCTGCAGAAAGAACCCGTTTAATTTTTTTTTTGTTTCTTACTGAATACGAAGTCAATAGTTTGGTACTGAAGAACTAACCTGTTCTTACTGAAACACGAATTCAATGATGGACTGAAAGATCGTAACCTATTTCTTACTGAACGCGAAGTGAAATGATGCGTCCGAGGAAGATGGTGTCGTCACCGGATTTGTTATATGTTATATTTATGCAAATGAATCCGTATCTTGCGATCACGAAGTGGTTATGTATCTCGTTATCATTTATACTTCAATCTGTAATCTCCGTAATTCATCTATGAAATGTCTATATTTATTTATACATATTATTGTTTAATTTACGTAAAAAGTTTTATATAGCATTCATGACCGAATCATATGAAAATTATATACATGCAATTCAAATTGATAAATTAGTACAAATCTCTACAATAAATCTAAATTAGTCTTTGTAACAGTGTACGCCGTCCACGTGAAGTTGGGGGTTTAAAACAACATTTTATCGGTTGTGGTTAATTATACGTTGTGGAAATTATACGTTTGTGTGTCATTGCAGAGCTATATTTATTGGCGTAGTACTCGGTCGGACAGATATTTTTGATGCGATAAAAACTGACTAAAAATGAAACTAATAGCTTCCTTGTGTGACCACGGCTTTTTAGATTTCATTATAATATACAAAGAATACTTATATTTTTATGTAATCTGTTTAATTCAAATTGTATTTCAATCGTAGATGTAAAATTTCTAATTTCTTATTGTACCACAATTCTGTAGTACTGATTTACAACGTCGAAAAACTTCTTGAAAGACATAAACCCTCAAATAGATACCAAGCATCGCACACGTTGTACGTGCACCCGGGTTAATACGACGCTATTGTCAGCACTGCGCGCGCGCACACGTACCATCCTTATATTGGCGATCTGTATGTGCCTATCCTACTTGTGAAACAGAGCGCGTCACGCAGTACGCGTAGCACATGCTATGTGAAAACTTCTTATCATCAACTTTTTTCTGTCGGAACCCCTTCAGACATCGTCCGAAGGGGAGTACTACACATGCACTACATATATAACATTTAACGGTGATACACGAAAATATTTTTTGACCTACGTTGCAATGCCACTTAGTGCGCGTGAAGCGCGCGCCGCCGAAGGCGGAAAAAATCTTTGATATTTGGAGACCAACATATTCAAAATATTGGTTCTGGATGACGAAGTCAATCTTCGCTTCGCCGATCTGCTTAAGATCTGTGGTTGCGAGAAGCAGCATTTGATGCCCGCGCACGACCCAGTAGTGCATCGCGCAACAATATTTGTTCCAAATTGAGGAGTCCAAATCGGCGCTCGTCCTGTAGTTATAAACCAACAAATTGACATCCTTTCGAAGGACACGAGACTCTGACGACAGCAATGAGGCAATTAGAAATTATCAAATTCGATGCTGGATAGACAGATTTGGGCTAAAAACTATCTCTGTTCGGACGTTGAAGCGCCAAAGTCTAGTCGAGTCGGATAATTATAAGTCTTAACGGGTTGAGATACTCGTAAAAGATTTGGTCCAATTTCCCATATATTACCGCTGACGAGTCCAATTCGTCGCGCTTCCTGTATTTAAAAACCTCCAAGATCAAAGAAAAGTCGAGTCATTATATTTTGCACATCAGTTGAAGGCCATGCCCTCAACTCCTCAGTGAATTACAAGAAACCTGTCCTTAGCAAAAACACTGCATGATACTTGGAAATATTTATTGAATCTACTAAACGTTTGACACGATCTCACATGAGAAAACTACTTAGATAAACCTAGACACCTATGGGAATACTGGAAAACGCCAATAGACTCATCGCTTAGTTATCTCTCTAATAATATCAATATGTCTCTGAACTGTGGCGAAGAGTCTGACAGCCTGCCTGTTCTCTTTGGAGTTTCCCCAAGGCTCTTGTCTCGGACCCCTTGCTATTTATAATATAATGTTAACGACTATTTAGAACAACTGATCTGGGCAAGTTCATACTATTCAGATGACACAAACAAAATCGAAGTAGATGAATTAGAAAAAAACTGTATGAAAGAGCAAAAACGAAAATTCTCCGTTTGGTTACACCAAGTAACAAGAAATGCACTCTATTACAATATAAAATAAAGAAATGCTGCCTACATTCACATCAATCTGTCACGTACAGCTACAGATAATGAGCAGTAACGAATCCAAAATATACTAACTCTGAATAATACGTAAATAAAGCAAGTTAAGAGTCCAACGTTTTTTAGGTAGATATTAATTGACGAAAGCAAAAATGGGTAGTCCAATAAGAAGAAAACACAATTTCAAGAAACAACAATTTTATTTAGTATCATTAAAGCCGACAAAAGTATATTTTCCTATATTATATAACTAGCACTAACTTTAGATCAATATCTTATGTGGACTTGAGTAGCACGATGATTGACTATAATGTATATACATTTGTACAAAATACGTTCGAGAAGAATCCAGGTGATACAGATCGAGAGTGCAGACCAAAAGTTTTACGCACCACACCAGACCTTGCCTCCTGAGTTCATGTGTGGATAAGAAATGTTAAGAAAAAAAAACAAACTGTCGTTCATACCCAGTCCCTTCTTAAAAGAAGTATATAAACTAGTCTAATGTTTAGCTTCGTTCAATAATAACAATAATCAATATAATCAAATATCAATACCAATAACCTACCGAATACAGATATTATATATCAATCATTAATTCATTCCGAAAAAAATTTCTATTGATATAGATTTTTAGTATCTAAAAACATTACAAAAGATGGTTTTTTTTTTTTTTTTTTTTTTTTTTTTTTTTTTTTTTTTTTTTTTGTTTTTTTCGCGACACCCAGACCACCGTCAATAGAGGATGGCGACCTCCACTTGGGAGCCCCCCCCCGTTCCCCCAGGAGTCCATCCATCTGCTTAAGCCCCGTCCCTGAGGCCACTGGAGATATACCTGCCAAGTATCACCGAATCGGTTGCACCTCCGGAGATTTACTTAACTTGTCACTAGGACGTTCTGGTGTTTACCCTGGCCTGCATCAACGACCATGAACAGGATGACTTCCGTGCTGATAATGCTGCTCTTGAGACTTGGTGAGACGTAGGTTCTAATGGCGTTGCGGTGTGCTAACGTTTGATAGTGTGTTAGGTGGTGGGAACTGGGGTTTATTGAAACTACTCCATTTGGAGTGGCTGAGCTAAACGTGAGGGTTTGTGACGTCACGTGAGGTGTGACTCCTCACTCAGTCCATAAATAACAGGAGCAGGATCATATTTACGACTCCAGAAATTACAGTTCGATCCAGGGTCCATTTAATGGCCATACACACCTTACAGCACTTTTGGTGTGGTAACTGTGATGTGTAACAACTATACATTACTCCAAAACACACCACAATGTAGCGAGACTCCCAGTGCACTCCCATCATTGTCTTGCGATACTCCAGTACACGCCCACAATGTAGCGATACTCCATAACACCCACATTGAAGCGGATACTCCCATTACACACCCACAAAGTAGCGATACTCCCGTACACTCCCATATTGTACGATTACTCCATTACACACCCACATTGTAGCGATACTCCCATTACACTCCCATATTGAAGCGATACTCCCATTACTCCCACAATGTAGCGATACCCCATAACACTCCCACATTGAAGCGATACTCCCATTACACTCCCATATGGTAGCGAATACTCCCATTACACTCCCATATATGCAGCGATACTCCCATACCTCCCACACTGTATGCGATACTCCCATTAACACTCCCATATTTAGCGATACTCCCATTTACACTCCCACATTGTAGCGTACTCCCATTACACTCCATATTGTAGCGATACTCCCATTACACTCCCACATTGTAGCGATACTCCCCTTACACTCTCCATGGGGCGGTCACATTTGCAAACAGGGGGCAGCACAACCCACTGGCTAATTAATGTAGAGTACAGTCAAGCAAACGCTTATAATTTAACAAGTGTATAATCCGGTGTTTGCTTGTCATGATCGACATACCGCACCGCGGCGTGAGTTAGTGACATCTTGGGGAGTCGGTGAGTGTTATTGGTACTAGCGGGAAGCAGTTCAGTGCGCCACCCGCTGTTTATGACTGCGCGCCAAATCTTTGCTTATATCTGGGCCGGTTAGTCATCGTTTGCCGGTATAGTCCTGGTACAAATAAGGTGGCCCCACTACGCTGTCGGCTCTATATGTAACCCGAGACAGGCGTAATTCAAGGCCCACCGATGGCTTGTGCGGAGTTTCCTCGAGTGTTTAAACGGTGTATTCTAGCCCACCAAGGCATTGGCAGTCCCTCGCTACACAAGATTCTTTTATAGACACAAATCTGCCTCTCCCAAAGTGCCGTATGCACAGACGATGAGCCCTGGAGAACCAAAAACCTGACAAGGATTCTCACCCAACAGTTGTTAAAAAGCGCCAAAATCGATTTGGCAAGATTTTCTGTCTATAGTACAATCATGAAAGTAATAGTAAGTGGCGCCGCTGCAATTATACTTGATACGCAATTTAAAATTGTTTGAAGTCCGTAGTATCTTTTAAGTCATCTGCCTGTGCTTGATTAATAGTGCTTTGTTCTCAGTTTTATCAGCTAATGACGTTTCTAAGCAATTGCTTGAAGTAAAAATTTTTTTATGAACAGCGTTTCCAAAGCATGGCTGACATAAACAACAAGGTATTTGATTATTTTAGGAAAAACCGTGAGACTCGTTTGCACGGTTTTGAAATGTTGAAAGTCTCATAAAGGGGAGTATGGGCAGTATGTGGGACTTGATAATCTTAGAAAATTCGAAGATGCAGTGATAATTGTACAAGTTTTGAGCGTAAGTAGTTTTATTCTATTTAAAAAATGGTTTTTGTATGTTCCCTTTTTCAAAGTGGTTATGGTCAAGTTTTTGGCATACCGGTGTCTGGTCTAGTATGCACATGTTATTGTTTATCTAAATAGAATCAAGGTCGCCACAAGGGATCTTATACAGTGCTTCTGTGTGATTAAAAGACTACATTGACCGTTCTTTGAGGAAACACCCCACACACTAAACCGTAACTGAGATGTGATTCCAAAAAGAAGCATTATATAATTTTCAAATAAAGTTCAGAAGGTATCGAAGCCGAAATCTGCAGATTGCACCATCATATATCGCAGTTTTTTACAAGTATCATGTGGGCAACCAGATTTAGCTTACTATCTAAAACAACACCTAAAAGTTGGTATCCTTGGCTTATATAATAACCTTACCATTGATGAATATTGATCTATATTTTCATCAAGCAGGATAGCAAGATGTCTGGTCCGTGCACAGGAGTCATCATATCCGAGGCAGGTTTAAAATGTAAGTAGCACATTTGGACATGATATGAAGATATGTACATTCATGTAAATCGAGACATATTAAGTACTAAGTTGGCTTTTTTGTATGTTCTTCTCTATTGTCTTATATGAAATATTAGTTCATCAGCATAAAGTACAAATTTCAGCTCACTGTCTGAAAAGCGTTTACTATCATCGTTCAGATACAATAGAAGTAACGCCCTAGAATTGACCATGTGGTACTCAAATTGCACGTCCATTGTTTCTGATGTACATCGTTTATACATAACATACTGCATTTCTGGTTTATCAAATAGCTTTTAGTAAGTTAAGGGCTGTGCCCCAAATACCGTAGAATCAGTGATTTGCATAAAAATATCGTGATCAAGTGATCGAAGGCTGTGCTCAGTCCAATGAATAACCCTAGGACAGTTTATTGGCTTGCCAGAACTTATAACGGAGTCTATAATTTGTGAGAACATGGGTGTAGAATGGCCTTTTCTAATCCAAACTGTGAGTCGTTTATTACACCTATAGATTGTGAAAAATTATGATGCGTTATAAATTACCATCTCGAAGATCTTTACCAAGATAAGGTAATCTTGATACAGCCGATAATTTTCAATGCTTCTTTATTGTCTTCTGTTAATAGGAATAACATTACCGAGATTTTAAAAATACTTAGTGAATGTACCACTTTGTTATACATGTTTTTGAAAAGCTAGCCAAAGATCCCTGCAATGAGTTTTGCCGTTTATTTACAACAACTACAGGTGGGTCACTGGCTTAACCTTTTGAAAAATCTCGAATCACCTCTATAATTTCTTCTCCATATAGTTTTCACGCAGGTATATGGAGTCAGATACCGAAAATAACAGAACTGAGCAATGATTCTACTGGTCGCAGAGAAAATACTAATTTTTGACAGTACATTTTTCTTATTGAGATTACTTGCAAGAGAGTAAAATTTTCACAGAATTTGTTACAATTATTCGTCTGCAATAACTCTCAGCCATCTATGACAAAATCGTCTTTACATCTAGAATATTTTTGCCACGGTCAATGTAAATTTCCCAGGTCTTTTTTTGAGTCATGCGCGTACTTCTCGATTTTTTGATATACACATAGCTTTGCCATCTTTATTGAGCGTGAGAAACTTGTCGAAGTTCTTGTAGTATATGTTGCTTGTTTGGATCCCCATCAGGTAGTTTTAATGTACAAGTCTTCTTCCATAATCCGAAATACAACCTAGCTTTCTTCTTGTCGATGGAGTTAATGATGCCTGGTGATCCAAGGGTTTGGTTTTCTGTTACATAAGTGGGTTCTAGGAGTTAGAAGTTGCAAGACAATCTATCTTTATCTTGAAATAACTGCACGAAGAGACAATGTGTTACAGCTGAGTTGGAACCCTATCTATATCGTTTTCTATTCAAGACAGAGCTTCTCTAAGTTAGCATTCCTATAGTCCGTAGAGGTAAAAGTAATTTTGTCTGATGAATCAGGTGTTGGCACAGAGTGCAGGGAAAGTCTCAATAAGAGTGAATATAGGGTGCAGGTGGTAGATCTTTCAATAGAGCTCTGTTGTTTTATCTTTGCTAACTTGCAGTGATTATGGACTCGGTATTTCGTCCCTCCGAGTGGACATGCTATGCCGCCAGTTACGCTATACTGCAGTAGATGACCCAAATTCTACAAACCACAAATATTAAATATAAAATGTGTCCAGTATGGCGCAAATTCATAATTTTGATAATTGTCTCGACGCCTTCGTCGGGTAGAGATATCTGAACAACTGCATGCCCATACGATTGCGTCACACCGGTGAGCAAGCATTTGGTTTGTTGTTTAGTTGTGTTGAAAGGGAACATTACCTTGATTAATTCATCCATTCGGATTTTAATAAACGATAGGCTATGATTACCGTTTTCATCTTAGAAAAGGAAGAGAGTGTTTAAGTTTGATAAGTTCAGGACCTCGCTCCAGGAAGAAGCTTGTAAAGCTGTGTTTGAGGGGTTGTGTGATGTGTTCGTGTGTATGCCTACTGGTGCCGGTGAGCAACCTTAGCTTACTTAGCTTATCTTAGCTTATCTTAGCTTACTTAGCTTATCTTAGCTTATCTTAGCTTATCTTAGCTTATCTTAGCTTATCTTAGCTTACTTTACTTTTATTTCTTTATGTGAATTTGTTTAGTTCTGATTAACATCATGGTTCTAAACAATAATCCTGCATACACCCAATACTAACTCAACATGGTTACTTTACCGGTTACCATGGTAACTTACATGTTACTGTGGTTAACGTTTAATGGCACCTGTTATTAGTTAAATCAGCTAATTAACTAATATATGTAAACTGTCAGGTAAGTCGCTGCTGTACCAGTTACCTGCAGTTCTATTACCGGGAGTTACTCTCGTTATTTCACCCCTCCTCGCTCTTATACAGGACCAGGTCTGTTCTCTCCTTATATGGGCATCACGTGAAAATAGTTTTAATTCTGCACATATTTCTTAATGGTTTCTTAATTAACTAATTAAAGTAGGTAATAAATTGTTTGAAAACAAAGTAGTCATTTCAATGAAATGGCATTTTATGTTATTTTAATAATCTGAGGATATTAGTTTTAGAGTATAGATCATGCGGAAGAAAAACAAGTTGTTTCGTAGTGTTAATTGAAGCCTAAAACACTTTATTCTAAAACATGAAAACGTTTAAAATCCCTTGTTCTACAATCTATTAATTCGAAAATATCAACTAATTAACAAAATATCTGTCAGGTGACACAGCTGAAAGACAAGGGAGTAAAAGCGTCCGCGTTGAACAGTAAAACTAAGAAATCAGAGCGGATCTCAATAATGGCGGACTTGAACCTGGTTACCCCGAACATCAAGCTCCTGTACGTGACTCCGGAACTACTGGCTACTGATTCTTTTAGATCTGTGAGTGTCCAACCATCAATCACGTGATTTCCCACGTGAGTCGTGACTAACCACATATTTTTGTGTGCTACTCAGGTTTCTTCCTTACATTGTAGTCTCTGATTTCTATAAACAGTTGCTAGAAGATTTCTAGGTCCATTGGTTTTAAAGGGAGTTAGGCGTAGCCCATATTAAAAAAAAAGATTATAGAGACCTATATAACTTATAAGGTATAACTCGTCGGTTATACCTTATCCTCAGACCTCATCAAAACATATTTGTTAAATCGGTTTCACAATTTATTGGCTAATTCCACAGCTGATGGGGGACTTGAGGAAGAGGGGTAAGCTGTCCTTGCTTGTTGTGGATGAGGCGCACTGTGTGTCACAGTGGGGTCATGACTTCAGGTGCCTACATTGTTAGATCTACTGTCTACAGTTTACCTTTTAACACCATTTTTTAACCGCATATAATTATCAAAATTATAATATATAATATTATGAAGATATGAAAGTAAATATTTGTTGAAGATCTGAAAGTTTACTTTTGTTCTGGATAACCAATACCATCTTGTCAAATTGTTCTGTTTTCAGGCCAGATTTCCTCAAGATAAAAGATTTTCGAGTGATAAACAAATGTCCGTGTGTAGCACTCACGGCTACAGCTAACAAATCCGTGCAGAAAGACGTAGTTCTGCAGCTGAAAATGGAAAATCTCAAAACTTTCACCGCTTCTGTTTTTAGGTTTGTGGGAATCGTTCATGAACCGTACTTCAACAATGTGAGATATTATCTGGATGATGACTAAATGTTTAAGTTTTGCAAATTTTCACATCAAATTATCTGGTGTTTAAACTCAGATCATGACAAAAATATCAGATTATTTTTAATTTTTGGCACTATGTGGGGAGTAAAGTATACTTGCAAAGTTAAACTTTTTTTTGCAAATAAACTTTGGGCAGAGATACACCTTTATTACGTGGGGGTAAAGATGAAGATGTTAAAATTTATACAGAAAGCCCCCCTTGAGAAGGACCCTGGAATGACCTTTTTCCCCCTGAAAGGAATTAGACCCGAGAATCATACTGGTACAATTGTAAAAGACTGTAGAGGGCAGCGTGCAATGCGGAAGGGCGTTGTCTGGGGGGGGGGGGGGGGGGGGGGGGGGGGGGGGGGGGGGGGGGTTGGTGGGGGGGGGGTGGGGGGGGGGGGGGGGGGTGGGGGGGGGGGGGGGGGGGGGGGGGGGGGGGGGGGGGGGGGGGGGGGGGGGGGGGGGGGGGGGGGGGGGGGGGGGGGGGGGGGGGGGGGGGGGGGGGGGGGGGGGGGGGGGGGGGGGGGGGGGGGGGGGGGGGGGTAAAAAACCATGGGGGAGGTTTTCTTTAACACGTTTACAGAAAAGTAAACCAGGAAAAACTGAAGGGATTAATCACGGGGTTAACCCCCCCCCCCCCCCCCCAGCCTTTAGGATAAAAAACCATTTAAAAACCCCTCCCTTGGGAAATCCCCCAAGTAAACGCATCCCCTTCCACCATTTTTTCCTTAGTTAAACCCCCCAAAACCTTTGACCTGTCTTTTTCCCCTCTTTTTCCGTCGTATTTTCTTTCCTCTTGCCAGTATTATATTTTATCTGCCATCAAGCGTGGGGTGGAACTGGTGGTGTCCCTTAAGCTGTTAAGGATTTGGTCCCCCACCCCAAAAATGGGAAATTTTCCTCTCCCCTGCCTTGGCAGCCATTTACCACGCGGGGTTCCTATCCATAAATACTAAGCCAGAAGGACAAAGTTTTCAGGTTTAGTTCCCCCCCCCCCCCCCCCCCCCCCTTTCAAGCTGTAACTAAATCAGAAGACAAAGTGTCAGGTTTGAGTAGTCCCCCAATCAGCATGTAACAATCAGAAACAAAAGGTTCAGGTTTAGTTCCTGGCAGCAAGTACCTATCAAAACAAAGTTGCAAGGATTTTAAGTGCCCTTCAGCCAGTAACTTATCAGAGACCAAAGTTTGTCAGGGTGTAGTCCCTTCAGCAGTAAATAAAACTATCAGAGACATAGGTTTCGCGGAATTATAAACATCAAAACCATGGTAAAATGAACCTTGGCTCCCGGGCCCGGCTGTTTTAATAATATATTGTGTTTTTAATTGGAAAGCCCGTGGTTTAACCCCCCTTCATTGTTGTTTCAGGGCTTACTGGGATGAAAGGAATGAGACAACCAAGGGGGAAAAAAAAATAACATCTACAGTTTGTAGTTTTTTGGGAGATGCGGGTGGTGGAATAGAGAAAGGATGTACCCTAAATTTGGTGGGTACCATTGGGAGTATGCCATCTCCCTCGCAGGAATCTGACTAAGTCCAGGTAAATAATACTTGGTTTATCATAGTAAACCGGGGTGTAATTTATTCTATAATGTTTTATCCAGAGAAATCCCTGAATTCGTGGGTAAGGAGAAGAGCCCCATTTTTATTCTGAACCACTGAACAGCCGGATTTCGCAATCACTATCAAGCTTTAACCAATCAGCTTTTTCCCAAGCCCAATTAAAAAACCAACCCCAGCTTCCCAAAGCATTAAACCCATTCCTAGCGTCAAGCCAGGTAACCCAAATCAGCTTTTCAAGTTAATATAAACCAACCAGCGTTCCATAGAAAGTTTAACCAATCACGAAACGCCAGAATTCACTTGTTCCCACGTACCCTACACTACCCCCCAGGAGATCAAGGTCGGTGCAGGGAGGGAAGGGTAAAGAGGTCCCCCCAGAGTTTGTCCCCCCCCAACCCAACCGCCCCCCACCCCCCCCTGGCCCAACTAACTCCACGGGAGACAGCAAATCTCAAGTCATCCCTGTTCTCAATACAGGTAACTGTCCCCGTATGTTTTGTCCCCCGGTCCCCCCCCGTTATGTTTCGTATGAGCCCCCCCCCTCTGGCAGGTCCCCGTCCCCCCCCCCCCGGTACGTCCATTATTTCCTGTTTCCCCAGCGTCGTCAAATAAAGGTAGACATCTTTAAAACAGAATTTTTAATTTCGATATCTAATGTAGATAAAAAAAGTAAAAACCCAAAACCAACAGGTGTGGGGTAATGCAAAATAATATATTAAAAAGCTAAAGTTAAAGTTGAGTTTTAATTAATTATCTACCGGTTATAAACCAGCCTAGTTCCCCCGTTGGGTAGTAAAAAACCTACAGTAACCCCCGGAAGAAAAGAAGAAATAGGGCGTGCTATGAAAAAAAGTTTTTTAGAGACAAAGGAATAAAAGGTTCCTGTGGAGGCATCCTTGAAAAAAAACCTGGCAAAGAACATACTGCCCCCCTTATTCCCGGCAACTACTTTTTCATGATAAAACGCTAAAAGGGAAATTTAGGGGGGGGGGGGGGGGTGCACAACACCCCGTTTCCCCTAAGGAATTTTAATAATTAGTTATGCTTATAGAAATTGTGAAAAACCTAATGGTCAAAAGGATAAGGAATCTAAAAATTGCCCAATAATTCCTTCAGTTTGCGGGATGTATTAGGTTTGAAAGTTTGCCCCCGTTTTTTTTTGGGCCACACCCCGGGCCCCCAATATAAGAATATATATAATATATGAAGATATATATAAAAATATATATAAATATAGTCCAAAACCCGCAAGGGTTCCCTTTATTCCCTACGATCCCTTTTGTTAGGCCCTGACGGGCAGATGGTAAGGGAAAAAAATTACCAAAATCTGAAATAAATTTAAATTTACATTCACCTAAACCCGAGCTTCATTGGGTTTGGTTGATCAACGCCCTTTGAAATAACATTCTAATCTAGACCGTTTTTAATTTAATTTTTTTTAATAATTTTACTAAATCCTGGTAAATACCCTGAATTAGTCCACCAAGTTTACAACTGACCTTCATAGTATAAAATATCCGTAAATCAACGTTGACCAACAATTTAATAACTTGTTCACGTGGATTCAACTTAATGGGATAATAGTTGAAAACAACCACGTGATTTTGTCACCCCCCCCTAGTGGTTTTTTCAGAAGTACAACAAGAAGCCCCCCCCTCTTATAGTTTTAAAACAACGCTTAAAATCCTAACCAGTCCAACTCCCGCCCCGTCCACACCGTGGGGTGGTTGCTTGTTTTTCCACACCGTCCATAATTGTAAAACGGTATTCCACGTGCCGGGTAATATTTGAAATGTGTTTTTTTGATAGTTTTTAACGTTTTCTGGTGGGTTTGAGGAAGAAAACCAGCGTGAATGAAAGCCCTCCCCCAAGCCAAAGCTGGAAGAGAGCCATGTTTTTCTGTATGCATCGTCTCCGGGGACAAGCTCTTTTCGGGAGCCAAAAGCGTCTGCCCCCTTTCCGGGTAGCAGCTTCTTTTTGGGAACTAGCGTCTCCCCTTGGGGGAGCAGCTTCCTTGGAAGCAGCTTCTTTGGGAGCAACAGCTTTGGTAGCAAAAAGAAATGCTTTTGGAAGCAGCTTCCCTTTGTGGAAAGTACAGCTTGGTGAAGCAGCTTCCGTTGGAAGCAGCAGCCGTTGGAAGCAAAGCAGCCCCTTTGGTAGCAGCAGCTGGTGGAAGCCAAAGCAGCTTTGGAAGCAGCTCCTTTTTTGGATAAGCAGCAGCTTTGGGAAAGCAAGCCTTTCTGTTTTGGAAGCAGCTTCCTTGTCGGGAAAAGCAAGCGGGGTACTGTCGGGAGTCTGCTTTCTTTTGGAAAGTAGCGTCTCGGGAGCAGCTTCTTTTGGAAGTAGATAAATTATTTTGGGAAGCAAGCCCCCCTATCCCACCCCTTTTGAAAAAGCTGCCTTCCTTTTGGAAGCAGCTTCCTTTCCTTCCGGGAGCCCAGCGTTCCCTTTTTGGAAGTTAGGAAATTCTGTTTGGGAAGGCACATTCTTTGGAAAGGCAAGCGTTCTGTGGAAAGCAGCTTTCTTAGGAAGCGAGGATTCCCACGTTGGGAAAGGCGAGGATTCATTGGGTAGCAGGTTTCCGGTGGGGAAAGCAGAATATGTCTTGAAGGGGGATTGGAACGTTGGAAAGCAAGATTTCCCCCCCACGGAAGCCAGCTTCTTGTTGGAAAAGGCAGCAGCTTTGGACGCAGCAAGCTTTGGGAGCCACAGCTTTGGGAAAGCAGCAAAAGCCGTTTGGGAAATACAAAGCAAGCAAGCTTGGAGCAGCAGCTTTTTGGAAGCAGCAAGAGGCTTTGGAAGCAGCCATAGCTTTGGTAAAGCCAGCCAGCTTTTTTTGGGAAAGCAGCAGCTTTTGGAAGCAGCCTAGCCGTTGTGGAAAGCAAGCCAGCCTTTGAAAGCAAAAGCAGTTATTTTTGTTTTTGGAAGCAGCAAGCCCTTTGGTAAGCGCGCTTTTTTCCGGCTTGGGGAAAGAAAAATTATTTTAGTTTTTTTAAAAAAGTTGTTGGATCGTAGATTTTTTGTATCAGGCCAAGCTAAATTCGGTAGAGCGAAACCGATTTCTGACAAGATTTTCTTTGATTTTGGTAAAACCAACCCCCGTGGTTCCCGAATAGTGATTTTTTTGTTAACATAATTTTAGATTGAAAATTAACAAATTAACTAGTAAAAATAGATTTTTTGCAACCTGAAATATTATGTTATATTACTAACCAGCGTAGGTCCCCCCCCCAACCCTACCACGGGGCAAATGACAACGAGAATTTTTATTTTTAAAAAAGTTTAAGAAATCGCACTATAAATTGGATTAAAATGTTTACCCAGGATACAAACCGAATCTCCTGTTTATTAATCGATACGTGTAAAAAACCAGGCAATCAGGTAACTCTGTTCCCATGTGGGTTATTACATGTTTTAAGATCAGCTGGCAATGTGTA